GATAAGGGCTTACTAGCTTGAAAGTCCTCGAAAAACGACATTTTTTTTGCGAAGGAAACTTTGGGGGAAAACTATGATTCGTTGGCCGTTTGAAAGCGCGCCTAAAATTCAATCGTGCCCTAATATAACGCTAACTATGGAATCAAACAACAAGAAAGTCACAAAGCGTTGGATGTTGAATCACCACCAAATTTCCTAATTGTTGCAATTTGATATTATCTTGAATTCAATTTATGATGTGATCGGAGAGAATTTCTGTCCAATAGATTATAGATGCGTTTTTCATAAATTGTTCAAAAAGAGTGTTGGGATACAGAAGGCTAGGTGTTTGATTAAAAAAAAAAAAAAACGAGAAATTTTGGGGTTCAAAAGAGAATAGGTTTCTGAAATGAATAGGTAACGGGGTTGTTATTTTCGGAATCTGATATTTCGATCTTAGGTTTAGAATAGAGATGTCAAAAAATCCCGTGAGACCCCGTTCCCGTGGGGTTTCTGTCCCGTTTGGGGGATTTTTTTTAAAAAAATCGAGGGCGGGGACGGGGCGGGGGCAAAGTTAACCCCCGTTTTAATTTCGGGGGCGGGGGCGGGGGCGGGGGTAGGCAATCCGGTCCCGAAATCCCCATGGGGACCCCGTTAATAAATTACACATATATTTACATATATTAATTATATAAATATAATAAAAAATAATATGATTTTGAGTTTCCAAAATTCATCAAAAAAAACATGTGTTTAAGTTGTTAGTATAATTTTTTAAAATGCCATAACTTTTTTATTTTTAACATATAAAATTCTGCTATAAATAATTATTTGTTACTTAAAAAATAACGTATTTAGCCTAAATAACAACTTCTTTTAGCCCAAAAAAAAGTAGCCCAAAATCAATCGGGGCGGAGGAACGGGGGCGGGGGCGGGGGTAATAAATGTGATTCGGGGGCGGGGGTAGGAACATTGAACATTCCGGGGGCAGGGGCGGGGGCGGAGGAACAGGGAAATTTCTGGGGCGAGGGCGAGAGATGCACTCCCCGTCCCGTTTGCCCCCGTTGACATCCCTAGTTTAGAAACCGTGTATTTATTATTTTAATTTTAATCCAAAATAAAAAATAAAAAATAAAAAAAAAATAAAAAAAAATTGTTGATTGCAAAGATGTCAATATCACAATATGACACTAAGATCGTTTTACGTTTCGTAAAACTGTGACTACAAGATTGAATCGATTCACGATCGGAAGATCTTAGTCCTACCAAAATAAATTAGTTCATATTTGCTCGTGAGTTATTCTTTGTGCATCCATTATAACTTGATATTAACACTGGTAATATAATCAACTTTAACTTCTTATATAGTAAACATAGTATTTGTATATGCAAGCCGCAATAATTAGGAACAAACCATAAAAATAAAAAATAAATAAAAATAAAAAAAATAAAAAAAAGATCATTATGACCACGTACAATTAAAGGCACGAGAGAACAAAAGGATTTACATATGTGTCAAGATTTGCATATGTGTCATGAAGCTCGGTCTAATTCAAGATGAATGTATGGAGTTGTGATGCTTTATGAGATCACATGTGATCTGCTATGCTTGATTTCGATTTGAATTGAGCTCGATTTAAAGCTAATCGGAAAACAATTTAGGCTATCCATGTGATATTTGAGCAAATATGAAGAATTTCCTAAAGTTTAGAAAACTAAAGCTTAATGATAGAACAATGATTCAAAAGGTGGGATGAGATTGAGATAGTGTCGTGAGCTGTGAGATATGGCATGGCTGCTATGATAGTAGGATCTTAATATAGATCTTGCTTCATAATCAATCATATTGTGATAAAAATCGACGTTAACCGTAATATATATATATATATATATATATATATATATATATATATATATATATATATATATATATATATATATATATATATATATATATATTAGGGTATGATCTATTGACTTGTATATTGTAATATGAATATGATATTTTACTTGCTATTTGTCTTGATATGCTACTTTGTGTCATAAACCCATGTAATTATAAGACAATGTTGTCTTAAGTATGATTTTATTTGACATGTATTCCATATATGTGAATGAGAAAGTATGATTTTATTTGACATGTATTCCATATATGTGAATGAGAAGCAGGGTCGGTCCAGATGGTGGGCGGCCCGGGCGATCGTCTAGGGCCCACGATTTCAGGGGGTCCAAAATTTATGGGTTATGTAGTGTATATATATATATATATATATATATATATATATATATATATATATATATATATAATATATATATATATATATATATATATATATAAACTAATTATTACCAAATGATTTTTAGGTCGAAAGTTAGTTCAAACTCAAACTAGCTTAAAAGATAAACAATGTAGTTTGCTTGTTATTACTAATTGAACGTGTTTATAGTGAAGAATAAATGATTTTTTTAATATTTATTATATTTGTCTTTAAGGGACCCTTTTTTTCTTTTTGGCTCGGGCCCATATACGTTTGGACCGGCCCTGATGAGAAGTGAATTAGTTAATCCTTGGAAAATGATGCACATCTTTCGGATATTTTAGAAGTCCGGTTCTAGTTTTGGAGAACATTAGTCATTCATGGTTTTTTAGCAGTACTTTTGGTACATTTTATATTTGTGACAGTTTCTTATATCTTGTTATATACGTCATATACATATGTTGATCAATATCGCTATGTTTTTTTATGTGAGGCGTTCTTTCGTTGGACATGACATTAGGGCAAGTAACCCCTAATATACATGTTATTTTTTATATAAAAAGACAAAATGTTACAATAGGCATGGAAAACATTTACAAATCATCCATACAGAAGTTTAGTTGTTGATTATATATACACTTTTAGGGTCGATGGATTTGATAAGTTAGTGAAGATTGTGGATTACAAGAAAAACACCAGGCAATTGGTTCTTTGAGTGTTGATCTTGGTGATGTATTCAAACAAAATGGGAGCTTTAAAGCTACTTTTCTAAGTCATGAAGAGTGTTTTGTTCGTGAAAAAATTAAACAATGGAAAGTGTGTTAAGCGAGTTAGAAACCCAACATGATGATATATAAAAGATCACATAAGTGGCTAGTAAGACTTTGACATTCAACTATGCATTCTTCCTTTACACATGAGAGAGAGAGAGAGAGAGAGAGAGAGAGAGAGAGAGAGAGAGAGAGAGAGAGAGAGAGAGAGAGAGAGAGAGAGAGAGAGCTAATGTAAAAAGTCAAAGAAAAATGGTATTTGATGACCAATGGTGTTTTTGAAAAAAATGAAAATTTTATTACCCATTTGAAGACTTTCTCATATATTTTTTTCATTTTTTTAAGAAAAAACTAGTAAAAAGTGTACCATCAAACAATCCTTACCAACATCTTGATCCTAGTTTTAATGGTATTTTTGGACCACTCAAACAAATTTAATGATATGATAAATAAATAAATTTTATTTTTATTTTTATCAAAATAAAAACATTGTTAAAGTTATTTTTCATGTTAGTGATTTTAGTGTTGTTAGGTCATTTTAATATAATAAAATTTACAGATCAACATTTAAGTTCACATCTTGTTTTTATTACAAGTTGCACGTTTGTATATAACGAGTTTGATCTAGTTTTACCAAATGATAAGGTCAAGGGGGTTGCATCTCATTGTGGGGTATATTTTTTCATAATTTACCTTAAAACCATCATCCTTTATTTATGTAATAAAATCAGTATTTAATGCTGATTAATACTTGTGCTTAGTATCAAAAGAGTTTGAATCCTATAAACCCTAATTCATGATGTTATATTAGTGTCTTGATATAAGACTGTTATTTGAAGGAGTATCTTTATAATTTGGATTTCGTGTACTCTAGATAGGGGTGTGTACGGAAGGTTTGGTTCGGCTTTTACTAAAATTGAACCATTATAAGTGGTTAATGTATTTTGATAGTTAATGAGTATAGGTTAGTATTGGTTTTGGTTAATGTTTTTTTATTGGTTAATAGTTCATATTGGTTAATTATAATGGTTGAAAATGAGATAAAAATAAAAAATATCTTGCTATAAAAATTGAAAAACATAAAATAAATTGTTATAAAAAAAATGAACAATCTAATGTTTATAACTTTATTAATATGATTGAAGATCTATTATCCCATTTAATTCAAAATATTTACCTTCTAAATTTTCAATTTTAAATATAATTGTATAACATATATTTAATATTATATTATATTAAAAGTGTTCATCAGTATTATTGGTTCAGTTCGTTTTTAGTGGTTCGATTTTAGATGAAAACCATAACCGGACAATATATATTTGGTTATCAAAAAGAGAAACCGCATCATCTTTTGTAGCAATGTTTCGGTTATTTCGATTAACTTTGTTTTGGTTCGGTTTTTAGATTAATATAGTCACCCCTAGTTTGAACAACCTCCTATATGTAAAAATAATAAACTTTATTAAAATAAAATCATATAGTTTATTATTTATCGCCTCTAAAAACAAATATCTAAGTTTATTATTCTTTTTTCGTTAACATTTGTTTTTCTTAATAACTTACTTTTCAGAACTCTTTTTCGTTACATTTGTAAAGATAATAAACTTTATAAAAATAAAACCATATAGTTTATTATTTATCGCCTCTAAAAACAAATATCTAAGTTATGAATGACCCATTCTCTATTCATCTTCCAACGACCTCGTATCATGGTTTTGTTATAACCACTACAACACATAACTAAAGGTACTACAAAGTACAAATTAATTGTATAATTTCATCTTATTGATTAATTATCAACCACTAGAAAACCAATTAAACCTGAAACATAAACTTAGATCATATTAAACAATTTTCACAACTAAAACTTATAACAACTCCATCATCATCTTCTTAAACCTTCACTATAAAAACCCACACCTCCATAACCACCATTATCATAGAAACAACCTCTAAAACCTACAGCTCTTCAAAACCCACAAACCATCTCAAAATGTCAAAACATTCATCAAAAACAACCATATTCACAATTCTCATAGTCATAGCAATCATTCATCCAAAAATCTTAAACGTATCAGCAATCGACCCCGCACCCGAACCCGGGGTCCACGTTTTCGAGCTCTACATGCACGATATCCTAGGTGGCAGCAACCCCACAGCTAGACCCGTGACCGGACTCTTAGGCAACATTTACAGCGGTCAAGTCCCATTCGCTAGACGCATCGGATTCCGTGCCCCATCGGGCGGAATCGCGATTCCAAACGCCAACGGAGCCATTCCAACCATCAACCCAAACGGAATCCCACTCGGAACTGGCCTAGTCGGAACACAGTTCGCAAACCTGAACAATAACAATAACAATAACAACAACATTCAGAACCAGATCGCGGCCCAATTGGGCCCCGATGGGCTTGGGCTCGGGTTCGGTACGATTACAGTGATTGATGATTTGTTAACCGCTAATGCTAAACAGGGTTCGCAGACATTGGGGAAAGCACAAGGTGTGTACGTTGCCAGCTCAGCAGACGGAAGTAGACAAATGATGACGTTTACGGCTGTGATGGAAGGAGGGGAGTATGGTGATAGTATTAACTTTTTTGGAGTGTACAAGATTGGAAGCACGATGTCCCGCTTGTCGATAACGGGTGGGACCGGGAAGTTTTTGCACGCTTGCGGGTTTGCTGAGGTTCGATCGCTTATACCCGCGGGTCAAATTGTGGCTGATGGGGTCGAGTCTTTGTTGAGGTTGACTGTGCACCTTTCTTACTAAAACCGCAATCAACCGTTCAACAAAGTTTTGTGTGTTTGTATACGCGCGTATGTGTGCTTGTGTGAACAAAAATTGTCATCTTATTTGTAATTTTTACTTGATCAATATTACCATTATTTAAAGAATGATCCATTATAACAACCAAACTGTTAGTATATGTTAAATCGATGCAACAAAGTTGTATGTTGGAGTTCAACCTCTTGCTCTTTGAAGAAAGAATGCTGAACTATCTTAATGATCGAACTTAACAAAAGCAAACAAGACAATAATAGCTACAAAAGATTGGTAATTCATTTTGCCATATAGTGAATTTCACGAGAAGTTAGTGATGGTAACACGATCAAGAACAGTGTCTTGATCGAGCCTATGGAGGGAATCAATCAGATGCATTCTCAGTGACGCCGGACCTTTTGCCAATTCCATTCCGATGTCGCCGGCCAAACCAAATACAGAAAACGCAGATGCCGTGGCTTCAAAAGCGTGTGTTGGGTCGATTGCAACAAAAGCAGCAATCAGGGCAGTGACTGAACATCCACTCGCCGTTATCTTTTGCATCATCGGAACTCCGTTATGTGCACCGACAACTCTTTCACCATCTGTAACAAAGTCAACCGATCCTGAAATCGCAACTATACTGCCGCTCGATTTCGCTAAAGATTTCGCGGATTCCACAGCATCACTAGATTCGTGCAAGCTATCAGCACCCTAGTTATGTAAAACAACTAGTCAGCCCCAATTCAAGGACACCCGATAATCAAGAACCCTAAATTCGTAGCTTTTCAATATATTGGAGTGAAGAAAGAGACAAATTTTAGTATTTTACCTTGGTGGAACCGATGGAAGCCATGGAAAGCGCAATAATCTCGGACCCGTTTCCTCGAATAACAGTAGGTTTAAGTTCAATAAGCTCAAGACATGCCTTTAATCGGAAGCTAGAAGCACCGACGGCAGCTGGATCGAGAACCCAAGGCTTACCCAATTGATTTGCTAGACCGGCGGCAGCTTTCATGGCCGGCAACCAATCTGGGGTGAGGGTTCCGACGTTTATAAGGACGGATTTTGCATGAGGAGTGAAGTCTGGGATTTCGAGAATCGAGTGGACCATCGCGGGTGATGCACCGGCGGCTAAGAGGGTATTGGCCATTATATCCATAGATACGAAATTGGTGATGCATTGTATTAACGGAGATTGTTGCCGGAGAGATGAGAGGTACGTCCATGATTTTAAACCCCATGGATTGATATCTTCTTGCTGTTTCTGGTCCGCCATAGCCGCGATTCTCTTCTACCGACTACAAAATCTCGACCTCAATCTAAGGGGATGATTTGCGTCATATACTGGTTTGACCTAAAGAATCATATTCTGTTTCTTCCGGTTGGGATGGTGATTTTGGCTGTTAACCTAATCTCCATTTGACTATCGGATTGTACCTGTTTGGTTTGGATATTAAAATAAGTACCGAATAATTGAAAAAATTTGAGGAGGTGTTTGGTTTAGTTTTTTGAAGGTTTTTTTAGAAAAAAAATCATAAAAGATATTTTGGATTTTTGCAGGAAAATCAACTTTTTGGAAAGTTACTTTTATCTTTTTAACTTTTAAAAGTTACTGTTGAAGGAAAATCAACTTTTTGAATAGGGAAAATAATTTAAAAAGGTAATGAAGTTTCAAAAATATACAAAAAATATTATTATTTTATTTTTAGTACTCAAAATATCATTAAAGTATATTTTTTATACACAAAATACCAATGAAGTATATATGTGTTCAAATAAAACCTTGTGGGTAACCTACAATAGCCGGTAAAATGGTATTTTGTGTACAAAAAAAACAATGGTCTTTTTTGTATATTTTTGAAACTTCGTTACCTTTTTAAGTCATTTTTCCTTCTTTGAATACAATGGAAATTTAGCTACTTTTTATAAAGAACCCTCCATTTCACTTCGGCAACTACTGTTCTTCATCGCCAACCTCCACCACCATGGAAAAACCCTTTTTCTTATTCTTCCTCCTAATCATCTGCCTACTTTCATCAACACCGGAATCTTGCCGGCTACCTCCGTTTCTCGGCAAATCCCCACGGCTTCTCAAAACCTAAAACATTCTTGTTCAGCCGAAGTACACTTACGAGACATGATACTTTGATCAGACTCTTGATCATTTCAGCTTCAATGATCTTCCCAAGTTCCAACAACGTTATCTCATCAACTCCGATCACTGGGTGGGCCCAGGCCCTAATCATTTGGGACCAATCTTCCTTTATTGCGGCAACGAAGGCGACATTGAATGGTTCGCTGCCAACACCGACTTCGTTTGGGAACTCGCCCCTCGTTTTGGTGCCATTGTCATCTTCCCCGAAGTAAAAGCCCTAATCACTCTACTCTACATTAATTTCTTCACTTGCAGACCTTTAATAATACAATTTTATCAAAAGCTGCGTGATTTGATCTAGCATCGATATTATGGTGAATCGATGTCATATGGAAGCCAAAAAAAGGCATACAAGAACGCTTCTACTTTAGCCTATCTAACAGTCGAACAAACACTTGCTGATTACGCTCTTCTCATCACCGATTTGAAGAAAAATTTGTCAGCCGAAGCGTCACCTGTAATCTTGTTCGGCGGATCATACGGTGGAAGTAAGATATTTTCCAACAATTTCAACAAAAATTAAACAAGCACTTGCTGATTACGCTCTTCTCATCCCATTTACCTGAAGTACCTGGTTACCACAATGTTTTAGTTGAACACATGTGTATTTTGTTGGTATTCTATGTACAAATAGTAACATTAATGATATTTTTTGTACTAAAAAAACAACAATGGTATTTTTTGAACATTTGGAAACTGGATAACCTACAATAACCGGTAAAATGGTATTTTGTGTACAAAAAAAACAACAATGGTCTTTTTTGTACACTTTTGAAACTTCGTTACCTTTTTTAAATCATTTTCCCTTTTGGAAAAGTCAGAAAAACCTGATTTTTTGTAACTTTTCCAAAAAGATCTTTTGACATCTAAGAAGCTAAGTCAAACACCCCCTGAAAAACGAATTACAATTTATTTATGAAACATTCCAAAAATACATTCCAAAAATACGGTCCAAAAATCTCATATTAAAATCATTAAAGAAAACTTATAACTCATATCACATGATAAAATCCAATATTGTGTATCTCAACCCACTTATCAGAGTAAATATCCCGGGCTGAAGACTGTGGTGTGTGCCATGCGATCATCTCGATCTTTTCCTTTTACTAGCTGAAGTACCTGAAATCAAAACTGAAAACTGTAAGCACGAAGCTTAGTGAGTTCCCCCAAAACTACCACATACCATACAAATAACATACAACTAGGAGATACGGGTCTCGCCCACACTTCGATGTCTTGGAATTGACTTTGACTTTGACCAGAGCGTTGACTTTGACTTTGACTTTGACCTGAGCGTTGACTTTGACATGATGCATAAGGGATTCTAAATACACCCGGAATAAAGTCAAAACCACTTGCTGAAACTATTAATGGTAAAGTTAATTAAAAAAATATTAAATATGTAATAATGATTTTATTGAATGATATATTTCAAAACTATTTTGATATATTTGTGTAGAATAAATTATAGATATGGTCCTTGGGTTTTGGTTTTATTTTTAGTTTTGTTTCCTAATTTAAAATTTAATAGGTTGTATGCCAATGAATATTACACTTTTAGTCCTTGTTTCAAATAAAATCATTAACATCTTCATTTTTTTCCTTTGTTATTTTCTTTTAACAATTTATTATTATTATTATTATTATTATTATTATTATTATATAATAATTTTATTTGTTTTTTATTTTAATAGAGTTTGTATAGATTTCATATAATTTTTTTTTATTTTTTTAAATATATATATATATATATATATATATATATATATATATATATATATATATATATATATATGTATATGTATATATCAAAATTACAAAAATGGTCCTTATGATTTACCAAAAATCACAAAGCCAGTCTCTGATAAAAATATTTTACGAATATGGTATCTGTGGTTTCCAAAACTTGCATGAATAACCTTTTTGCTAATGTCCTATTATACATAATTTGATTTTTATTAATAATTTTCATTAGTTAACATACAAAAAAACAATTTTACTTGTTTATGTTTATATATTTGTCGGTATAATTCAAGATGGTTAACCTTTTCTTTTGTTTATTTTTTTAAATTAAATGGTTTTTTATAAACTTTTCGGTTTAAATTCAAGTTTGTTTAAGTTTCGAACAATAAAAAATAACGATCACAAACAATTAAACGAACAATAAAAAAATATGATATGATATTTTTCACAACTATAACAAATAAAATTATCATTTTCATTTACTACCATTTCGTCAAACAATGTTATATTTTAATTTTATTAATTATCAGGGACATTAACTACATGAATATTACAATTATTACGTGGTGCATTCGGTGGAATATATGCATTAAGTCGAGCATTATACAATATTTCTCATCCAGCGGTACGTTCTGATCTATGGTGATGCCAAAGTGACAAAACTGTAGGCATTGGATGTAATTCTTGTAAATCAATTTTGACGTAATGGTCATTATAAACGAAGGAGATAACAATAGATCTATGATGTGAAATATCTTGCGGACCATACCAAAGTGGAAAACAGGTCGACGAACCTTGTTTGTCTAAAAAATAGACAATTACATCATACTTATTAGCGATGAGAAATCCAGTATCCGGCATAATCAACCAATATTTACTTTGTGCAGAACCAAATCCAGTGAAACTCAACGAGTGTTGTACGTTGTTTATGTCATCCTGAAAAATCATTGAATATCATCCCCAATTTTCCAATAACTCGTTGTATAAGTCTGAGCGGATTTGACGCCAATAATTTTGACTATACCCGAGGGAGACAACTATTGCCCGAAATTCACAATTTCCATCTCCCTCCACATCTTCAATGTTTGTAACATATGGATGAAATTCA